GCCAGACCGAAGACCAACTGCAATCCCAGTGGCTATGTGAATTCTAAAAGGACACTGATTGTGGTCCAAGCATCTGCTAAGGCAGGAAATGAGACCCTACCCGAAACAAAACAGTGGAAAATCAGGCTGAAGGCATGGCTGCGCTGTGTCCCTCCAGCCTGGCAAACTTCAGGCCCTCAGTTCAAACCCCCACCCAGGAAGGTGTGTGTGTGTGTGTGTGTGTGTGTGTGAGAGAGAGAGAGAGAGAGAGAGAGAGACTTGATATTTACTTGGAAGCACTTTATGAAGTTCCACATATAGTTATGTAATTCCAAACATAGTGATGGCTTTTTTTTTTTTTAATTTCATGGGATTGCAAACAGTTGCTAACTCTTGTACTTCTTGGAATACTGGATTTTCTGATCAGCCAGTAGTCATGGAGAAAGAAGAGAAATAACCCAATAAACAAAATCTTTGCCTTAAGCATAGACAACACTTTATATAAGAGAGCTCTTACTGTTTTTTTTTTCTTTTCTTTTTGTCAGTCATGGGGCTTGAACTCTGGACCTGGGCGCTGTCCCTCAGCTCTTCAGCTCAAGGCAAGCTCTCTACCACTTGTGCCACAGTGTCACCTCTGGTTTTCTGAATGGTTTATTGGAGATAAGAGAGAGTCTCATGGACATTCCTGCCTAGGCTGGCTTTGAACCATGATCCTCAGATCTCAGCCTCCTGAATAGCTAGGATTACAGGCATGAGCCACTGGCACCTGGCTTACTGGTTCTTCTTAATGTTTGGCTTCTTCTAAGAACAATAACAAGAAGACCCTGAAGGGTCTTGCCCATGGCATTCACTATATCCCTTATGATCCTCAGTTTGGCTAGATATTTACACTTCTCACAGACACCCAACACACTCCTTCTGCAAATTCCACTCTTCTTTATTCAGCAGAAATCATTCTTCCTTCAGATCTTTGCAAGGCATACTCATTTCCATCATTCTAACTCAACAGAAGTGCCACCTCCTTAGAGAGGCATGGTGAATGTTAATACTGATTGTCAACCTGCTTGGATTGACAAATAACTAGGTTAGTAAAACCTAGGTAGGACTGTGAGGCCATTCCCAGAGACAAGTAGATTGGGTGAGCTCTGAGCTCATGTAGAATGGCATACGTCATTGGTGGATTCAAATTTTGAATACACTATGGGAAATGGTGGAACGTTGGAAGGTAGTACCCGGGAAAAGCCAATAGCCAACTGGTGGACTATCCTTGCCCTGCCCACTTCCTGTTACTACGTGGCTATGTTTCCTGTCTGTCACCAGTGAAGAACCCCCTCTGCCACATTTTCTAGCCACTACGTTGATCTGCTTTATCATTGGCCCAGGAATGCAAGGAGCCAAGTGACTATGAACAGAACTCCTCTCTGAAATGGTGAACTCAAACTTTGGCCCTTTAGTGGTGTATGCCAGGTACTAGGGCATGGGAAAAAATGCCTGACCTTGGTAGGTGAAAGGAGGCCTCCCATTAGTGACTGTTATCATCCTGATGTCTGACCTTTATCCTCCAGGGATGTGGTTTTTGTTAAGAGGAACCTAGACTTTTCTCCAGTATGAGCAGTTGGATGCACAGATATGGTGTGAACTGGTAAACTGAACTGCCTTTGCTCCTTTCTCAATCTCTGTAGCAGGTATGCCTCACAGAAATTGCTGAAGTGAAATGCAGGTAGTATGGGAGACACTGAGTTCTATGTGAAAGCCTGAATTATGATTCACCCTTACGCAGAGGTACAATATAAATAGACACACAAACTATGGGAAATGAGAAAAGTATCACTAGAGTAACTTATTTGAACAGTTAGCAAACATTTTCGTGCCCTTTGTGATATTCTTTGACTAAAAGAAACTAGATAATGAAATTAGCAATGCACACAGCTTTTAATCACAATATTATCTTTTCCAGTTGACTTTATACTTTATAATTTGCCTGGCATGCTCAGGGTTAAACGCCACTTGAGTTATACACATTCAACTCTTTATTCACAAACAATTTACTGCTGACAAGACAGGCGCTGTGTGTTTTCTTCATACGGTATGCCACCTCCTGAAGCATTTAATCTGGAACAATGGTAAGAAAATGTTCATGCCAGAAATCCCTCCATTAGGTAAAGCTAGACAATTTCATGTAAGGGTATAAGAAGAAATTTTAGATTGTATGATACCAGTCTGAGAAACTGAAGATGCTTCATCTGTAACAAACACTGCACACGTTGATCAGGATGCATTGTTGAATAGCAACTCCTTTGCACAACAATCTAAAGATGACAGGACATTTTTTTTTGAAGAGGGAGGGGTAGAGAATGAGGAAGGGGGGAGGGAGGAGTGGACTGGGATACATGGTATGCATGTGTAGAAACGTCACGATGAACCTTCGTTTTGCTACTAATATATGCTAATAAAAATCCTTTTCAAAAGTTTTCTTTTTCAAAGAAACAGGTCAAAGAGTTTAAAATTAAGCCACTATTTTAATACGTGGGTATCTGGAAACAGAGTGTTTCTCACCGAGAAATCTTTATTGGAAAAAATCAAGGTGGGATCTAGAAAGACATAAAGGTCTTTTGGTCTGAGGCAATTGAGTCTGGGTGATCTCTGACGGTTGAGCGGAAATAGATCCTTAGATGAACCCTCAAATGCGTCAGGATCAGGGAAGACTTCGTGTTTGGCGTTGTACATTGCTAAGGGACGGTAGCAGAGATGTAGGACGAATTTCAGCTTTGCCTCTTGGAAGGGTTAGCTGAGAAATCTGTTTAAGTATAGAAGGTGGCGGGGTAGGAGGCGGGGAGGGACAGGTCAGGGGCGGGTGGACGGGTGAACAACAAATCTGCTGGAGTGAACAAGAAATGCGAGGCGCTGGCAGGGAAGAGCGCCTGTCCACCGAGCCAGTGTGCTAAGAATCCGAGCTGAAGATGCGTCAGTGAGGGGAAAAGGCCAAGTGTCCTCCGCCGAGGGGGGAGAGGGGAGCTAGAACCAGAGGACGGCCTCCTCGCCCTCTCTGCCCCGGTCACAGCACACCTAGTCACCCGCAGGAATGGAGCATCGGAGCGGAGGACTGCCAACCGCGCTCGGGTCAGGTCAGCTGGCGGCGGCGATGTGTACCTAACAGACAACCACTCTCCTGCTCCTGCTCCGTCCCGAGATGGTCTCCGGTTCCACCCTGCGTGGATATCACACACCGCGGAAGTTTGGCCTTGGAGAGCTCAGCAGGGGAGCAGCCCTTCTTCAAGTACGCAGAGTAGAACTGGGGCAGTCGGAGGAGAGGGGAAGGGCTCAACTATCCAACCAGCCCGCGGCGAGTTCTGATTACTTTTACGACTTGCTCTTCTGGCCTCTGGAGCTCCGTTGATCCGCAGCTTCCCGGGAGGGCTGAGGAGGTGGGGGCTGCTCGGGGTGAGGGTGAGGAGGGGGTCGAGGGGTGGGACGCAGTCTCCGAACTCTCCCCTCCGAGGTGGGGGGCGGGAGGCTTTTGGATGCAAACAGTGCGGAGCTCCTGGCGAGGGCTGCAGGCAGCCGTTCCCATCCTCAACCCTTTATTTTCCTGCGAAGGAATCCATCTGCACAGATCTGTCGGGAGGGAGTTGGAGGAGGGTGCGCGTGTAAGCCAGTGTGTGCGTGTGTGCGTGTGTGTCTGTGCACGGGGGTGGGGGAGCGCGCTCCCGCGCGCGTGCCTGCCAAGCGGTTCCCTCTTTAGATCCTTTGCCAAAAAGCCCTCCTCCGGGTCTCTCCAGGAGCTTCCGTAGTGTCCCCGGCTTGCGAGGCCGCCTAGGACCTCGCTAAGCTGGGGTACGGGCGGGGATCAGCGCCCCTGGGTGGTCTCCGTGCTGCGCACCCGACCTGTCGCCCTCTCTCGGGACGCGCGCTCGCGGTGGCCCCAGACCTGGTGTGTGCGCTGCCAGCAGGTGCCCAGGGGCACGAGTGGGGAGCCGATCCTCACCTGGAGGAGAAGGTAGAGGGGACCCGGACTCCCCCTGGCTGGGCAGGGTGCCCACGCCCGCAGAGTGAGCTGTGATTGGAGACAGCGGCAGCGCCGGAGCCCGCGGGGGGCCCCGCAGGTGCGGTGGGGGCGCCTCAGCCCGAGGTGCGCACCGGGCTGCCAGCTCAGGGTCTCCAAGAGCCCCGGGGCGCCGCGAGGCTGGGTGCGCGTGCAGTCGGATGCAAACACCACGATTCCGGGCATCTGAAGCCTCCCCGAGGGCAGCGAGGCCCCAGGTGAGTGAGTGAGTGAGTGAGTGAGTGAGTGTGTGTGTGCGTGTGCCAGGGGCTGGGAACGGGGGGGGGGGCGGCTGGCGCGTCTCTGCCGTGCGTCTTTGCCCGCAGGACCGCGGCTGAGTGGAGCGGGCGGGGCCGGCGTGGAGTTCCCTTGGCGTTTCCAAGTTGCTGCGTGCTGCCTGGAACCCTGGTCCTGCCCAGGCAGGGCGGGCGGGCGAGCGGACCGCGCTGGGGGGCGCGTGGCCCAGGAGCGGTGTTGACACACGCCGGCCGTGACGCGGGCAGGAGTGGTAGACCAGCAAATCCCAGCTCTCTCCAGATGCAGCCAGAAGCACGGGCGTTCGGCAGGGCTGCTCTTCAGCAGGGCGACCAGCGGGCTCTCTCTCCCCTGACCTCCTGACTGTTTGGGGGACATCTCTGGGTTGCCCAGGGTTCTTCAGAGCAGAAAGGAAGGCTGAAAGGGAGTAGGCGCCTTGGGTGCGCACGAGTCGGTGGAGCCTTCTGCGCTGGAGTCTCTTGCCCTGCGTGAACTCACCTAAGGCTGCTCAGCTTCTTGAGGTGATTAGTATTCTGCGGCGGTGGTGTGGCGCATCTGCAGGGTTCCTTTCTGCTCCGTGTCCTGTTGTCCCGCCGACGGCGTGTACCTCAGGGGTGCGCTGGGAAAAGGGCACCCGAGGCTCGGCATGCATGGTGGACTTCCCGTGGGTTCGCGTGATCCAAGGCTAGTGGCTGCTATTCAGCCTTCCCGTGTGGATTTGATGCACAAGGAACTTTGTTCCGAATGCCTTCGTGGTTTAGATGCTTAGCTCTCCGGATTTCTTAAATGGCACAGTTGAGGTGAGTAAGGTCTGGCCAGGAGTTCACCCAGTCCTGGGTTAGGGCAAACTGTTCAGAAAACGGACTAGGACTGTGGATCTCAGGACTTTGGAGAAGTGCAAATTGAACCATGAGTATCCTTAAAACAGATTTACCTTTGCAAGAAATATTGTGTCTTTATTACGTTATTTAGTAAATGAACTAGCTATGAGTAAGACTTACCTTTCTGAACAGCTGTAACCACACAGATGTTCAGGACGTTATTCATGTAATGGTATATAAAGAGCAATGGAACTTTTCAGTATATGGGCTTTGGAAAGTAACAGTTAGCAGCCTTTTTAAAGGAAAGTGTTCATTAGATACAGTGCCAGCAGCATCTAAATAGCTTTTATAGGATCTATGTAAAGAAAGGTTGTTAAGGAGTAAAAAAGAAAGAGCTAAGAAAAAACACAAAAGAAGTTGCGCTTGAACCTTTTAGAAACTTGCAAATTTTACTGCTTTTATAAAGAACCGAGAAGACTTTCTGGACGCAAGTTCTTTTCTGATTTCTCTGTGCAAAAGAGACATATTCTGTTGTTGTTGTTTTTTAAAAACACCATTTTTTAAATTATAGGATTATTTGGAAAAGTATGAATTCAAATGCAAAAACATGAAGACACTAGTGCAACTTGGTGGATGTCTTGGGAGTGAATTGCTGTTTGATAGGAAGTGGGTAAGTGCAGGAGTTAGGCTGCATTTGGTGTTAATATTTTGTTCTGGTAAAGCTAGCTGAGATTCAGTGGAAGGAAAAATAACAAAAACCAGTCATTGGTATATAGCCTATCACTTGACTAAAGGCTATAAAGGCTTTGCATGGTACACGTAAAATGTGAGATATTATTGCAATTAAGGGCTGCAATAGGTCATTAGAATTGTGTTAACCATCAGCTGACAGATCCACAAGTCTTCTTAAGACTACTTTTATTGATTTCAAAGCACTAAGCTTTTCTCTTTCTTATAAAAGGGTTCTCCTTGTAAAGCATCTATATTACTGCAATTTACCCTTGAATTGACTCTGGCTTTTAGTACCCAATGAAGAAGAGGGAGAGGAGAGCACATTTGCTTGGCCATGGTTCAGTCTTTCTTGGTGTAAAAATCAAACTACTGTCTCTTCTCGAGCACGATTTCTCTGCCAGTCTCACTATTATTCTGCATTTCTCCCGTTCATTTCAGTGGCAAAGCTGATATATAAACTGCTCAGAAGGCATTCAACTATGAAGTAGCAAATGGACCTTTGTGTCACATTAAATAGTTTCTTTGTAAAAATTTTCAGAAATTCTTTATAAAGTGATAAACCCCAACATTGTTCTTTGTTTTGAGTACTTACTGCCCAGTGATTTCAATCTTCTCGCATTTTATGAGGATTTTTTAATATCCATTGCATTCACAGTTTGCATCACATCCTAGTTTCCTCACACACTAGAGAGAGAAAAAAAAGTGTGTGTGAAAAAACTATGATTGGGAAGCTTCAAAGCCTCATCTTCAATTGGGAGTTCCAGAAACTTCTAAAATAACTAACTTGCATCTGTTCCTTGCAAAGAGTCTGTGATGGAAGCTCCCTTCCCCCCACCCCTTGGGTGAAGGAATCAGATGTTCTTTGGTGCCTAGAGAAAGGGGAGCTGAGGACAAGGATAAAAGGCATGTGGTCAGAGTCCTGTGTGTGACCACGTTGCCAGCATCTGACAAGTAGAGCTGAACTAGCAGCAAGCAGTGATACACGAGTGCCTCCTCTGGGAATGTGCTGGTCTTGCAGAGAGATGCCCTGGGAACATTTCCCCCTTGGCATTCTGCAAGGCTCCTCACTGATAAAATTACCAGTGCCGATGAATGTGCAGACATCTGTCCATACCTTCATTGCAGCATGCAGTAGGACTTCCATTCTTGTACGGTTCATTTTGCTCTCAGCTTTTGCGTACTGCTCATTGAAAAGTGGTGCTTTTTTAATTGGATTCACATAAATCATACCTGGCTCAAGGTAAATACAAGGGCAGATTAAAATTTAAAATAGATACAGATGAGATTTCTTACAAGAGTGAATAATAAGGATTAAAAAAAACCCGTAAGCTAGTAAGTTATTACCAAAGCAGTTCAGAAAGACTGGGATTTGTGACTTTGTTTACATTTAGATTGACCTAGGTCTCTTCTGGTTAATTACACACCAGTGTTCTTTTTTCCTCTTTTCACTCATGGTGGAAGTAGTTTGTGCTTTGTTGCAATGGACTCTGTAATCCACTTACTAAAGTTTTCTTTCTGAGTTTGATAGCCAGATGTGCACTATAAGCTATGTGGTTCATTTCCAGGGCCCCTGCCTGCATATTTAGGCCAGTTAACGGCAGGAGGTTGTGGTCTGTGGTTGTGCTGTTATCTGGGCCAGGGAGCTAATGGATTTGATCACAGTTGCTTTCAGTGAGAAGTCCCATATCACAGAGAATACCAACTTTACTAATTGAAATGTGCATAAATATGTATATATGTATATCTTTATATATATGATATATAAGATATGTGTGTATGATATATATCTTAGGTACAAAGGAAAGGGTTCTTTTATCAGCATACAAATTATAGAATCAAATGATAAATCTTAAGTAGTACAAAAATGCCAGTGTACTCAAGGGCAATATATTACTATACTAGACAATGATGATTGCAAAACTAAATCTACAATAATTATAGTAAGAATATTATGAGAAAATCATCTTTACAAGGTAGTACTTAGAGTAACAATCAAGAATGTACAACTTATATTACTTAGTTTGCCAAGCAAAACTTTCTTATATATACACACACGTTATATTCTGAAGCATATTTTTACTTGATGCCTTATTTCTAAAACTTTCAATGGTATATATCAATTTTTAGAGGAAATAGCTAACATCTTGCTACAACAATTCAGTAGGAAGTTATTTTTGGTCACAGTGGCTAATTAGAAAGGCAGTTTTCAAGTTGGACAATGCTTGTTTTCAATTTTTATACCTAAAACACACAGAGCGAGGACTCTAGAGATTCCCATGGCCTTTGTCTTACCTGCACTTGTCTTCCTGAATGTTAATCATGTGATGACCCTCTACTTTGACTCTCATGGTCATATACAGATTTGATTATGATCAAATCTGCTTTTCTTTGCTTTGGGGAATGATGGTAAATTCTAAGACAGTTCATTTGTAAAAATATTCACTATCAGAATGACCAATTTTAAGCATTTTAAAATATTGGTGATATTCAGTTAGGTCCAGCTCCCTTACTGAGTAGTTTGATGACTAGGGATTTCATTGAGAATTTTTTGTTGTTGTTTCTAAAGGCAGAATGGCATTGGTGTAGGTTATATAAAGTTTATTTCAGGTCAAGCATGTCTGTGGTTCTACCACTTCAGAAATCTTCAAACAGCAGCAGTAACAGAGCTGGAAGGGGTGTGTGTGTGTGTGTGTGTGTGTGTGTGTGTGTGTGT